CGTCCACCAGAGCCTGGCTGGTGGTCACTTCCTCTATCATCTGTGAAGACTACGCCCACTGCACCAGTCGTAAGTTTTCACAGCCCTTCCGTCTAACACACGCTTACTACAGTCCTGCAGATGAATGCGCCACAAGTAGGGACAAGGACAAAACATCGTCCTCCCGAGTTTGGCGTTCAGTTGAATATCGTACACATCGCCCATTGTGAAAGGGCTCAAATAGTCCTCGATCAACAGCAACTCGCGTGGGGAACGATTTACGAACTAGCACGAGGCGTCACTCGTGGCATGTGGACGTTCGAAGATATGACGGAACATCGTTTGCGTCAACTCAAGGGTTCAAATGTGCAAGCTGCATGGAAAGTGGCTGCCGTCATCAAAGACGAAATGGGACCGTCATCTGCAATGAGAGCACCATCAGAAATTTGGTATAAAGTTCGACCATCTCACGAAGTCCAAGCTGAATATGACGGAAAGGCTTGAATACGATCGAGAGCAGCTTGCGATTGTTGAAGACAAAGGCCGCGGCCTGGGAACTATGGGCGACTGGGAGGGAAAAGATAATTGGTACGGAGGCAAGATCCAGCAAGTTGCCCGTATTGTGAGAGCTGGAAGTTCGTTTAAACTCGAGCTCGAAAAACCCGAGATTCGGCGATCTCATCGATTTGCTCGGTTTTTGGGGTCTCGACGCATCCTCCAAATCCGTGTTCCGGCCAGTCTGAAATATGACACAGAAGTTCCCAAGTTTCTGGAGTCCAGCAAGTTTGTGTTGTGTGGCCGCGTCTTCGTACCATTTCATGCGAAGGAAGGGAGTGTCTACCTCTTTGAAACCAACGAAAACATAGATCGGCAGACTAACTCTGGCGATGGCGACGGTCATCGACTAACACTTCATGAATTTGTACAGTGGCATAATCCACTGAGGTTGAATACAAAACAGGTAAATACTTTTTCGTCAGAGTCCGCGTGATGCAGCTCTGACGCGCACCCCGACTAGCCCATCAACAAATGGTCTACTCGATGGGCGCTCGGGCTATCAACTTCGGTACCAACAATCAAATTTGCTCCTGAGAATATATTCTTCATCGACGATCAATGTAGCATTTCCTCTAGCTTGCAAACTATGGTGCATTGAATTAGATCTCGCAGATACTGGGCACTGGGGCGAGGGAGAACATCCAGTTGAAAAAATCATGACCGATGGGTGCGGGTTCATCAGCGGTGCAGCATTGACTGCCATCATGCGAGTAATCCAATATCCGGGTCGACCGACAGCCGTGCAGGGACGTATTGCTGGTGCCAAGGGAATGTGGGTTCTGCACCCAGATCCAGAGTATCAAGTCTCCGATGGACCACCAAAGATTTGGATACGCAACTCACAAAACAAAATCAGTTGCGGACCGCTGCACAAGGTTGACGCCGCTCATAGAATTTTCGATCTCGTTGCGCCGTCTCGTGTAACTGGACCGAGCCGCTTATCCAGAGACACTCTGGTAAATCTAGCGCACAATGACGTCCCCACCGGTATTTTGAAGGAACTAATGGCTGATGGGCTGCACAATGAAGTGCACCAGCTCACTGAATGGAATGGCCCCGATTCAATGCTCTTAGTTTGGCGAGCTGTTGAGCGCGCTGGCCGTGTTGTGATTTGCAGACTGCGGCGACGCATTACTGGCCAGGCCCGTGCATTCGGCCTTGGCCAACTCCGGCCCAACGAGGAGCTGGGTGACGAGATTGATGATGATGATGATGATGATGATGATGACGTCGCATTGGACCAGCCACTGGCTGCCTCGGATCCCCGAAGTCGCAATCTCCATAGCGGCCAACCAACCTCTCTACATGAATCTGTCCTCGAGCTTCTCCAGGCAGGATTTCACCCCTTAAAGTTCGACCCGCTCTTTTGCAAGCTCCAATGCGTGGTGGCGCTCGTTCTGGACGATTATGTGAAAAATTGTCATATTCCAGTCAAGGAGTCCCTTGAAGCCTACATCATACCAGGTAAGTAACGTCTTTATCAATCATTATTACTCATCTAATTGGACCATAGATCCGTACGGTGTCCTTGAGGAGGGCCAGATCCATTTTCGGTCGTCGCAACTCATCACCGACCCTGAAAGCGGAACCCACATGGATATCATAACAGGACCTGTTTTAGTGAGCACTTTAGTTTTGTGCAGAGTTTGTCCTGAGACTTGTGATTAGGTGTGGAGGAATCCCACGAGATTGCCCTCGGACGTCCAGAAGGTAAGAAAACTGTTTGTTGTAGAACTGCCTCCGAGTCATCACATATGGGTCAGGTCACTGCCGTCAGTCACCCAAAGTTGGCAAGTTACTTTGATGTCATTGTATTTCCGGTGAAAGGCAAGCGGTCACTGGCGAGCTACTTGGGTGGTGGAGGTTGGCATTTTCCCCATCATGCTTATTCCCGAGGCATTTGCTGACAACTCCGCTTTGTAGATTATGACGGGGGTGAGCTTCTTTTGGTTCGTACTTATTTTTTCCCTCGTTTAGTGATGGTTTTTCGAAGATACCGTCGTGTTGGTCTGGTCTAAAAACCTCGTTGAAAACTTTAACCCCGCTCCGCTGTGTGAGGCACCCGTGGATCTGAGGAACGACTTTGAACAAGAGATCGAACACCTTCTTGATTTTGACCGACGAGTATCCAAGCTCTCAGGCAAAGAGGCTCAAACAGCTTTTCAAAAGGTTTTGCTGCTGGGGCTCGCGGAGACGAAGTGCGGACTATATTCTGGCTTTCATGACGCAGCTGTGTATGAACATGGCTATGGCAGTACAAAAGCCGTTCGACTTGCATACATGTGAGTGCTTCAAGTTGTGTCGCTACGATACCCGCTTTATAATACGTGGTGAAGGTTTACAACGTGCCTGGATGCAAGCAAGACTGGGTTACGAGTCAAACGCCATGTTTTCGAAGCAGACCGCACATCTTGCGGGAGCTGCAAACCATATTACAAAGTGGCAGCTCTAAAAAAGAGCGACTATCCCAGAGAAGACTCACCGTTATTGAAGCGAGTGACATCATCATCTTTTATCCTCGATGACCTCGTGGACGAGGGCAATCGCCTCCGTGACGAGTTTGTCAAGAAGTACTCAAGCCTCCGCAGTTCCGTGCCCCGTGCTTCGGACCGTGATGCCCATCTCACCTCGCCTTACACATCTGCATCTTACAGGGCAACACAAGCGGTGCATGTCGGTTTCCAAGGATTGCAGGCCAACCTGACTGTTGCCAAAAAGCATGTCGACAAAGTATACCAAGACTGGCTACGCGCCATTGCAATGCAGAAAAGTGCTTCAAGTTCTGGGCGTTCTTCTGATCCCAAGCAAGAACAGATCCAAAAAGCCGTGCAATACTTCGCACGGCGACCGTCGTTCCAAGACGTACTCTTTTTTTCCGAGGAGGAACTCAGGAGTATTATGGCATCGTATGCTTACACTATCAGCCAGTCGTTCGGGTTCTCTGTTGCCTTCACAGAGCTTTGCGCCATCAAAGCGCGAGTACGAGGCGGAATCCTTTTCGAGGATAAGTTTGCACAGGTCATGAACATACCTAACAATGTCCTACGAGCCCTTACGCAGGCACAGGATGGCGTAGATGATTAAGGCTTTCATGTTTTCCATGACACGACACTCATCCAGTACATCGGCGTATCTCATTGAACCAGTTGTCTTATTAAAGAGCAAATTTAGCCAAGAATGTAATCGGACAAACCTTGCCTCGCAAACGTTGTAAAATTGGACTACCAAGCCCTTGTCAACAACCCGGTACCCTGCTGTATCTGTAATCATCCCGATCGACCTCGTCCATGTGGAGGCTTAGGACTGGTAGGGTCTCGCAGGATACTAGTAAGTGGTAGTGGTTTGGCCATATGATATCGACATGGATAGAATTAAGACATGGCATTTCAGCGCCTTTTAGGATCCCTTCTGTGTAACGCCCGTCTGAAAGAATCTTTGCGTCCGACGGAATGGCGTTCAATTTCCATGGACCCGAGGAAGAAGAGAGTGTTGGAATATGGACGTCCAACAAAAGAAGGTACTAGTGTAGTTGGATCCAGGACAGACGATTAATCAACTATTAATGTAAAATTTTACATGAATGAGGCCATGAAGGGCTGTGCTTGCCCTCGTTCCGGCCCGCGCCTCACCATAACGACATCCAGAATCGTGCCAACGGAACGCGCCAAGTGAGCGGGTTATCCATGACGGTGACCATGAGCGGAAAGCTTCTCTTCCAAGTTGTCGGACAATGTGATCCGAGTACGAAACGGAAAACCTCGGGAGCTAGTTTCTCGAAATTTCAGTGTTACAATATCCGGGCCTCACTTTCTGCCCTGTATTGGATGTGTTAGCAAGTTTTGCGGCCACGTGAAGATCGACAACTGAGAACCTGTCAGTATATGTGGCGTACGTATACGGACCATTTGGTTGCATGACCGACTTCCTTGATCTGGGAATCGGAAACAGTGGGGAACTTCATCGCACATTATGAGGTCCGGGACTGACCGAAGATGACTATATCTCAGGTTAGTACATCACCAGACACCAAACATGGTCGGGCTTTGAACGTTTGAACGTTTGAACCACCAAAACCACCTATTGCAACCAGAGGAACTCAGGCGATTATGTCAAGGAATGGTGTACCCATGATCTTTGACAACTTCAAACGGCCGCCGAAAATATCATCTATGTGAAGCTCTACCATGAAGTGAATAAGTAATCGGATTAAGATGACCGCTCACAAAAATTCAACAGATTCGTTTTAAAGAGCTCTAGAACCCACTGCCTTGCGCTACTAGAGTCTACGAGCCCCAACGAGTCAATGCGACGAGCCGGTGGCTGGCTTTCGCATCATTCCTCACCGATTGACCGAAGTTAGAAAACGTCCTACAGTAGACTCTGACAAGTGTGCATGTATGCACTCATCACGCAGATCTGGGTGACGGCCTACGAGAATTGCAATGGAAGCACTGGGCGAGAAACAACTGATTATGTCAGCTCTTCCGAGATCACCAAACCATGGGGTGAGTAGCTCTACCTTTGTCTATGACTTCGCAAGCAAGATGATGTTAACATTAATTTCTGATGCGTTTTGCTAGATTATCAAGCTAGTCATAGCTTCTCGTGCACCCTGGGAATACAGTTTCACCTTGTTTGCATAATCATGTCGGTTCCAAGTTTGGTGGAGGTAGTGTCACTGGGGCTTCGGATACCAACGTGGGCAGGCGTGACCGTTTGCGCTTGAGACGATCGATCTTGTCAAAGTAAGTTCCTAGTGATTGACCTGCCCACCAATGTCAATTTTGACGTGTCGTGCAGATCCATATACCTAAGGAATCATTTGGGCTCCCTCGGATGTCGTCACGGTCTGACACTTCATACCAACGAAGGTTCATCATTACCTGGTTTACTCAGGGAAAGAAGCATCAGACCAATCTCGCTCGTCGTACGGCTAGCGATGCCAAGGACACGCAGTTGATGATTGCTCCGACTCAAAGCAATGTACAACACAAAGTGTTCCTCAAAATAGAACGTCCAGGTTACTGAGTGACAAATGTACGGGAAAAGATACTGGCAAAGAAGGTATAGTGGTCCAGATCTACCTTCCTCAGATTCTAGCGGATGACATCCCTTGCCGACGATTGTGAGCAGTTGGGAGCAAAAGAGGGAGCCTCCGACCAAGGCATACCAGTATCTAATCGTAGGTGAGATTACTTCTCGAGTCTCACGTTGCTTATTGGATGCTAGGTGGCTGCTGAACCGTATGAGACAATCGCTTTTCGCATTCCTGCGTGCGAGATAGAAGACGAAGCTGACGAAGCTGGATATTGGAACTGGTCATATTGGGATCCTGATATAAACTAGTATAAGTTCCAGTTCATGTTCCGTTCGACTTATTGATCGTACCTGCCAATTGCACAGTACTACGCGGTTTTCTTGTCATGCCAAATTATTTGGATCAACTTCATCCTGATAAATTTAGCCTCTATCTCAAGTATTCAGGAGATGATTAATGTACGCCGTATGCTTTGTTCTAATCCAAGAGACTTCGATTCATATTTTGCACAGTAAATGACCTGTCAGCGCCAAAGTTGTCACTCGTGTAAACTTCCCCTTGCTCCAGACTTCTAGAACAAGAAGCACGATGATCAGTTGGTTGTATACACATCAGTAGTCCAAATGAGTTATGTCCCTGAAGTTCGCATGATGTATTAAGTGCAAACGTCTCGCGCAAGACAATATACACCAGAATTGGTTTCTGTCTCGATGGCCCCCGGCACAACTTGGACCAATTGAGCCATAATTAAGACCTCGAGAACGAAGGAGTTATGGAACATGAACAGTGTTGCGACAACACACTTGAAGCTCGAAACATTATTAATAACAAGTTCGTCAATCCTTGGCCTGTCCATTGACGATTCAGAGGTAATACATTATATGACATTAGAATAAGAGTAGACTCAGCATTCAACCAAGTCCAAGAATGAAGTTCTTTACGCAATTGATTCCATGTACTATTGCTGGAAACAATGAAGTAGTAAACAATGCGGCCATTATCTATTATCTGGGTGTCTAATATGCATGTGAAATCGTTACATTCAAGTGTCATGTGGACCGTCGCCGTCTAAACATAACCTCTGCCTTCCGGTTTGGAGTGCAATTCATCATAAGCCATTCATCAGGAGGACGCTCGCCTTCTTTCTCCAATTTAATATCATAGTTGAGCACAAGATAAGCCATCATCGCCTTCATCAAACTAGAAGCAAAGAAGCGACCGGGGCTGACGAAATCGGTGAGTGAGAACTCAAAACCATAGATCGGGCGTACCAAGCATGATGTCCATACCCAAAAGGGATATAACTTGCAGTTGTGGAAGCTAGCAGGATTTGTGGGTCTTCTCCGTCGTCCTCGCGTCGCTGTGAAAAACGGAAAGGTTTGAACTCAGATGCGCTTTCGAAGTATTCCTCGTCGAGATGCATGGGTAATGAAGCGGCAACAACGTGAGTTCCGCTGGGTATTACAGTACCATCCGAAAATACGAATCGCCGCATTGCTTTGCGCATCATAGGGACTACCAGAAGTCAGCTTGCTATCAGCAAAAATGAGTAACAACCTACAGAGAGTGGTGCTATTGAATCGCTGGGATTCCTTGAGAAAGCTGTCCATCTTGACGAGTTTCGTCATCGCAGCCTTCGTCCATCCATCTTTATTAATAACAGCTGAAGCTTCCTCTCGAAGTGGTGTGCAATATTGAGGGTATGTAGCAAGGTTTAATAGAGCGTGGGTGAGGCTCTTTGTGAGACCAGTAAGGTGTCAGGTTTGCTCTGCAGTGTAACGGCATACCTGAGCTGATGTATGTAATGCGGCAAAATTGAGGACCAAAACCCGCAAGCATATACTCCGAAGATTCCTGTGCTCATTGTCGGATACGTCAATGAGCCAGCTAATTAGGTCATTCTTCACAGGGAAACATAGTCAAGTGGTGAACCATATCATAGGAAGATAACACACAGGTTGAGCGTTCCATTCGTCCCTGAATTGATCTAGATTTTGCAGTCGTTCCTCCACGATAGGTTCAAGAAGTGCCATACATCTCCTAATGCTACTAGGCGTGTTCGTTAATAATCGACCAATGATCCTAAAAGTCAAAGTTGGGTCTTCGCACCATCAATTCAGCGACAATGCTTACGGATGTGCAAATTTTGGGAAACAATTCACGAGTGTTGCACGCAATACCACTTGTAAAGCGAATTGCTGTTGCAGGGCTTCAAATTCAGGGGATCGGCCTATGAGCGGGTTGAGTGGATGCACCCTTGATCTAAGCGAACCACTCACATAGCGGAAGCCCAACAAAGATGCGATTGCTTACGCGACACATAGCCTTCATGATCTCCGGGTATAAGCGAACCTTAGTCCAACCTGCGCCAAAAGCACGTAAGAATAACCTCACGGAGAAGGTGGAAAAACTTGCCATCTTGGTCTAATGGTATGATGGTGCTGAATGCGTGGTTGATCTCGTCGTAAACGTCAGGAAAGAGCACCTGAAGGTTTCGGGAGAGGTGGCTGCGAGTGACTTGTGTGTGATAGGGATATTCTTGCGCATCAAGGCCAAATGTATATTTGACTTGAAGAAGCTGTGATACAGTGGATGAAATGTCAATGTTACGGAACCAAAAAAAAACTTCCAACGCACATCTCGCATAGCATGATCAAACGAAAGCACATCTTCCGGCACCTTTCTTAACTCCTCTATTAGTCGCGGCCCAGTCAGGACCACTACCCATTTGTCAATCAATGGCACTCTGAACATTCCGCCTTTGTGCTTCATCGACGTTCAAAACATGGTTTCCTAAACATAACGTTGTCACCAACCTTCTGATAGCCTTCTTGCACCATGGCCGGAGCATCCTTTATGAAGCGGAGCACGCCGAGCCATGAGGAGACCGCCCCTGACGGACCAATCGCAGGAATCATATCAAGCTAGACTCGACGTTAGTCAGCCCAGGCCCCACTGCGACTGGATGGAAGCGCTTGCCTCAGAAGACCTGCAATGGTCGTAAATGAAGACAAGCAGAAGGGTTGCGACTGCAGCAGTCAAGCCATAAACAAAGAGACCAGTACTGTCCATGGGATGAGCGTCGGGGGCAAAAAGGGGCAGGGGGCATTTCCGACACCACTCCCATGCGGGGGAGGGTATTTATGTTCAACGGGCACATCAATTAGTACAGTGGAAAATAGAGTTAAGCACAAGCCTCTTACCGAGTAGGGTAGGCTAGATTAGATATATACAAAACCCGAGCAGTGGCGCGGAGTGCTGAACATATGATTTTCCGTTCTCAAGGTAAGGCTAGCGATCCTTATTCTCGATGCGCATTAAAAGCTGTGAGAAGTCCCAGTGGCGAGCCAACCTCGTCAATAGGAATTTCGTCATGTCAACGAAGGCATGATCCATGGCCCGCATCAGCAATGAATTTACAATTTTTAGTAACGAGGACATCCAGGGACAGCCCTTACAACTTTTGCCAACTTATCCTGAGCTTCTGATGTGGCCAAAGGCCATGGAGGCAGCACATCTCCGCTCAGACTGCTAAAGTTTCTATGTAGGGCGACTCACTTCCGCCAGAAATGAACGGAATTGAACGGAACTCAAATTGCCGCATGTCCAATCGAGTGTGCAGGTCGATCAGCTGCATTGCTATTGTTTTGGCTAAAGATGCAACGTTGAATCACCTCAAGGCCGCCATCATTGGTTATTACTGTCGTAATTAGAGCGGAAGTTAGTGGGCAACCGCGGAAGGGGTAACTTACTAATCAATGGAACCAACCGCAACATGTCCATGAAACAGAATGGAGGTGAAAATAAGATGAAGGGGAATTGTGTCGAAATGATCACCTGGTACTATGTGCGATCGCGATCAGTAACCCATCTGAGCCACGGTGTCCCAGCATGAAGCAGCGTCGGGTATTACAGTACTGGTAGCGAACAGAAGCATACTTGATGGTCAGGGCTTTGCACTGACATCTCTAAGGTCCTGGACACCACCAAATTCCCTTATTGGAATAGCATCTGTAGCTCGGGACGATATCCGTCTACATATGGCAAACTTAACAGCCTGGACGTACATCGCCGAGAAACCAAGTTTAGCCAGCTTTCAGCACCGGGATTTCCCTCAGTCTTACGTGGCACAACCAATCTATCAAAAGATACGATAAACTGGAAAAGAAAAGTGCATCAATTCCACAGTCGTGCTAAAAACACATACAGAAGAATCAAGAACATTTAGAAATACTGCGTGGGTTATCAGTTAATGCGATTGGTGTACCAAGGTCCATAGCCAAGACACCTCGACAAATGCACGGATCGTCCTCTATGAGGTAAATCAGATCAATGAGATAGAAGACAGCTCAAACAAGAACACCAACCCATCTCCGTGGCAAAGTCCAGAAGAAGGGTTATGACATGATTTAGATATCATGTTTCCGTTTGCTCAGCCTTCGCCGATGACCTACATCCTTGACCTTCCCAATATTGGTCGCTGACAAGGACAAATGTTTTGTCAATGGAGGATTTGAGTCAGCATGAGCTCCAGGCACATGCGTTGGCAAAGGCATATTTCCAGGGAAGACGGCCGTTTTCTTCCGGAGTAGTTTTCGGCCTTGGTGATACATTGCTGCCGGTTCGTGAGTGTAGCCTTTGGTTGGTGGGAAGGGATCAGGGTCGAAGTCGAGGTGAGAATCGTGGGGGTCGGCTCGGGCATATGTATCCAGGGGTTGTTGTTGTCGTGGTTGTTGTCGCTGGGGTAGTGGATGCAGGGGCTGGAGAGGAGTAGGCATGACGAGGCGTTTTGGAAGGTGATGATTGCGCGGTGGCTGTAAGCTATTTTGAGCGCGAGATATAGATTGCGTAGATGTGGGGGTGCGCGTGAGCGAACTGTCCAATGAGTGAGTTCTGCGATGTCGAGGAAGGAGGTTTGCCAAGTCGATCGCTTGACCGTCATCAGGTGGTTCAACGATGGGCGGTGATGAAATAGGCGTTGCCTGATTTGCATCTCCGCGAACTTGTGACCGAGTTTCAAGATATCGTTCATTATGAGCCGGCGGTAAACCGGGCGCAGGATGTATTTGATGGAGGGGATAAGGCGTGAGCTCATCATGAGCTGGCCGTTGTGGTATGTGAGGTATATCGTCACCAAAGCGATGGATCCGAGAAGCAGACTTGCTGGCGGGTGCACGTGACGATGAACGAGAAGGCGGCGCCTCGGGCGGATGGTGGTAAAGAGGAGAGTGGTATCTGGGGTGACTGGGATCTAACTGGCCCGAGCCTAGATTACGAAGATCTGGTTTCGGAATGACAGTGTTGGCCTGAGTGGTATGCAGAGGCGGCGATGTAATACCAGATGGAACAATTTGCCCAGGAACAAAATTTAGAGACGGTCGACTGACTCCTGGACCAATTGGAGGTAATCTAGGGAGCTGCAGCAAAACATGTAAAGATAAAAGCTTCATGGTTCTCAACTACTAAACATACTTTCTGGGTCCGCACCTGACGAGAGGCGTTCTTTACAAAAAGAATGTAAATATGAGTCGGAAAAGTTTGCATGTCCAACTCACCTCACGCTTAGATTTAGTATGGAAATCGCCTCGCAGGACGTCAATGTCATTATACATGTGAGCGGGCCCGAGTTGCGCAAGATTGCTACCAATAGCATCGTAAGGACCACCATGTCGCCATCCTGCTCCCAAAGGATCTGTCTCATCCATTTCGTCAATTCGATCGAGGGCACGGGAGCTTGTGAGGCGTCGGATGAAATTCTTCATACGACGCTTTCCTGTAGGCCTGTTACTACCATCTGCATGAACTGGAGCCGAGTCAGAGCGCGTTGCGGTAGGTTTCACGACTTTTTCTCGCTGCTCTGGAGCTGTAACAGTACGTGTTGGGGTAGGACGATTAGAAGTAGGCGGGCACATGGCTGGCGAAGACCCTGAGTCATGACTCGGCGAAGACGAGGCCGGAGGTGCTGGGAAAGGCGAAACAACACAAGGTGTCTCGGGATGAATCGGCGAGTGGGAATGTGATGTAGCGGATGATACACTAGGCGACGTGAAAGCAGCGAGAGCGGTGTGAGAGTCGGAATCTAAAGATACAGAAGTCGAGGCAATTGAGGTCGGGTGGGCATCCTCCGAGCCGGGTGAGTGTGAAACAAAGTCAGGGCCCTCTATAGGACAGAGCACTTCCTGATGAGGTGAGATGTCACTGGGAGTGGTCTGAGGGGGATTGCTAACGGCCATAAGAGGAGATTTAGACGGGAGTTCCTTGTAGAATGTAGGGCTAACGAGTGGAAAGTGTGGATGAACGCGAGGATCGGAAGAGAATGCAGGGTCATTTAAGATGGTCGTCGACAAGGGTCTTGAAAAATTGGGAGGACTGTCACGGGGATAATATGAAGACGGAGATTGATCGAAGTCAGGAGTGAGAGATGCTGGAGATACAATGGCGTATGGATTATGATTGTGGTGCTGATAAGCAGCAGAAGTAGGAGACTGAAAGAAACCTAGAACACGCTCATCGTGGACTGTGCTTGGCATATCCTGAAAATGATGGTGTTTATGACGACCTAGGTAACCCCAATTTAAAGCCATAGATACAGAGTAGAGCAAGCCTTAAAGAAGAGCTATAGCCAGACAAAGAGTCGTTGTCAGTTAACAAATGTTATCAGGAGAAGAAAGACTTAGAAAGGGACATGCAGAGCTTATGCCCACATGTGCAAGCACATGAGGTGAGTCCATCATGATCAATAAAATTAGATTGTACTTCTCTGTTTGGCTTGGCTTTGAAACAAGTTGTACATGGTAAACCATTGACACGGCTTACGTTCAACATCGGTTTCTGCTTGAACTCAACTAAATGGCAGACGTTGGATCTCTTCGAACAGAAATTAAAGCTTGGGAACGCGACTTTAAGTCAAAGTTCTCCAGAGATCCTTCTGTTCAGGATATTAAAGATCAACCTGCTATAGGTACGTCTGATCGGTACTCTCAAGTCGCGTCTTGCACTCAATATCCTTGCAGCTGACAAGTACAAGTTATACAAGAAACTATCAAAGGCAGTAGCAGCAGCTACCTGCCTCTCTCAGACGCGTCTTTCTTCCTCTCAGACGCCTACCACCCCACCGAAATCTACTGCTCACTCAAGTCGCTCCCGTATTATTTCCAAGCCGCGCGAAATCGAAGCCGTCGCTCCTCTTCCAGGCTTTAATCCATTCTCACCAGTCAAAAATAAAGGCAAGCAGAGGGATTCCCCCCCTGCATCCTCATTTTCCACTCGAAAGGCGCATTTACCAAATCCTTTCGCAACTCCGTCCAAGAATATACCAAACCGTTCCTCACGGAGCGAATCCCCAGATAATTTCCCAGAAGGACAGTCACATTTATCAATTGGTACATCTCTCAGCTCCCAATTACCTCCCGCGCCGAACACGGCAGTCTCGCGTGCACGAAAGAGACTTCGCGGTGAACCCGTCTCGCCCTCGCCCAATAAGCAGAAACGTCAACGTATCGGTTCTCACTCGGCTTTACCCTTCCGATTATCACATTCTTTGTCAAGCGATGATGAAAGTGATGGTGTAATGGGTGGCACAGATGTCAATATCTCTTTTGTGGATGATTCTCCCGTAAAAGTACCGGCAGGCGGCAAGTCATTCAGGCTCCTCTTTGAAGACACACTACCGACCGCAACTGTACCTAAGAGGCCTACAAACGTTTCCAAGTCACAATCACGAGGTTCGGACGATGCTGTAATCTCACATGGGGTCGATTCGAACGATGCCACGAGTCTCGAAGCATCTCCGGCTAATACCCATAAAGATTCTAGACGCTCGACAAGCCGCCAAGATAAACAGAAATCAAAGGCAGATACAAAACCTACTTTGATGTCAAAAATCATCAAGAAAGACGAGTCTCCCAGCGCTGAAGGCCGGGTAAACCAGTCGAGATCTGGGTCATCGCGTACGATTGCTGTGGAGAAACGGGCGCACGGCAAGTCCCAGGAACCGAAGTCATCGCTCAAGCGTGTCTTGGAGGCCGTGTCAGTGAATGATGGACTGTTATCAGCTTCTTTTCCACAGTTCCCCTTACTTCCGCCATCTCCCTCCTCTGAAGAGGCCTCTTCAAATCGACGCGTTCCAGCAAACGGCAAGGGAATAGCTGGAACAAGCCGAAAAAAGGCCAAGGTTGCGGATGAGGAGGATGAGGAGGAAGACGAAGACGATTTAGACGAGGTTATCGTTAAAGTCATCAATCGGAGCCAGACAGCACAGCAAGTATCGGAAAATGCTGATGAGCTTGACTGGGATCTAATATTACATAGCGGTGCCCGTGACCGCGATCAATATGCCGCGGCTGGCGACACGAGTCGTGACAAAAACGGAACCTTTCGTGTTGATTTACCTGATGAGCTTCGCCTCATGTTGGCCATTTCACCATCAAGAACCCACAACAGCAGGGAGGAGCGTGTCTTCCGCGGTTTACTTTACGGTGATCGTGTTGGTCATTATGACGCGTCGAGAGGTGGGGATATATGGGATATCGGTGAAGCGGAAGATGACACCCGATGCAGCACCGAAGGAGAAGATGATTGGGAAGGCGAGCCTATACCATGGGAAGTCGGAGAGTTGTAGGATTTACTAGCCGTATGTGGTCGTGTTTCATGATTTCGGTGCTTTCACAGGACGTTTTCAGTGCTTCATATCGAGAGGCTTCGTGCAATTATACTTGCTATCACTTGCAGGATCAAGTGCAGAATGAGGAACACATGCCAAACACGTGTATGATGCCAGCGTCTGACCCAGCGCATGTGGTGCCCGCCGCCCAAAGCCATGCACTGCATAGAGTGAGGCAGCAATGTACTAACGTATAATCACTCCGCGATAGCGGAAAGGTGGGACTTGAGATTCCCCAGTCTAGACACCAATCATTCGCTTCTATTGCGTAAGGGCAAACCCTTGACGCGTGTTTCACCTCCGTGTTCGAAAGGGGAGCACGGCTCGGCTCCTGAAGTCATTGCGCACATTCAATTTGTTATTTGAACCAGCCCCCATCCTGCTGGTGACTCCTCACATAGTCCGGGCGTTACGGCGTGTGAGCGCAGTAAGTGGTTTAAAACCAGGTGCTTAACCCAGGTATCCATGTCTTCCACCTCTTTGTTTTCCGACGCTTTAGCTTCTGTATCTCTTCGCCTTCGCCGCTCCCGCGATTCTGATAGTCAAAGCAAACAAAGCAATCGAACTTCCTACCGCCCTTACTCTGTCCATCAACAGACAATGTTCCCTACTATCCTCCGGGATCCTGATGCAGCCAAAAAGCTGTTTGAGACTATCATCGACTCTCCTAATGGCCGCCGCTCCATGTCACGCCTTGCGCGGACCTGTAGAGCTATGTGTGAGCCGGCCCTGAATGTACTATGGAGGGAACTGGACTCCTTGCTTCCAATTATTTCGCTGTTTCCCAACACCCTGATGAAGAGAGCCCGCCGCCCTGGACTCGGTTTGGTGGGTTTTCATTGACACAAAGCCTCTTGATTATTCAACTAGATACCTCTCGCAGGCAAAGGCACCCAATGCCGAGGACTGGAGCCGAGTGCTCGCTTATGGTGAACGTGTACGCCGCATTGCGTACATCGAGTCCTCTTCCAGCGTCTCTCCATCTATCTTTGCAATCATCGCAGAGAACCGACCCGTGCAATACATCCTTCCTCACTTGCAGCAGCTCATCTGGCGTGTGGACAGTGCTGCTGGTCTGCAACGCTGCACCATTTTCCTGAACCCAGAGCTTCAAAGTCTGGTTTTGGAGGTCAGCACGAGGATCCCACAACTTGCCACCTTCCTTGCGGAGGTATGCAGCACTACTCAGCTGTCATCCTTTTCCTTCACGTCACCCACAAGCCTTCCCGACACGTTCACTGATATTTTGAGGTCCCACAACACGTTAGAGAAGTTGGTTCTAGTTGCACCTGGCGCGCTCTCATCGAGCGTTGGGCAATGGGCTGCATCTTTGCCTATGTTGCGTGTTCTCGAGCTTGATCTTACTGGCCGGTCTGTCATCGCAGTCGAAGGCTTCTTCGACGACATCGTCGCTTCGGGAGCTTCCACTCCCAGTGATGCATCGTCAGACAGCGGTGTCTTCTCTGGAGATGAGATAGACTTCACGGAAATCCGCAAGTCATCCTTGCGCTTGACCGGTGACCTGCGCTCGGGTGGCGTGTTTACAGATCTCCGTCAACTATCGTTGACTGGAGAGGTTGCAAACATTGCAGTGTTCCTGAAGCATTTGACGAGCAATCTCACGCACCTGGAACTCGTTATTGAGGACCCTCCAGATATGGCTGACTGGCAGGACCTCTCTGGTCTAATCTGCGAGCGCTTCAGCAAATCGCTCCTCTCGCTGCGTATCAACGCAACAGGCTCATCCCGTTTCAATGAGCTTGTGAGATCAACGTCTCGAGGCGGAGACCCACCTTGCCGTCACCTTCCCCTTCAGCATTTCACCTCGCTCCCATCTCTCCTTCGTCTAGAAATAGACCTGCCAGAATCAGTCCTCTTCCATAACTCAGATCTGCAGGCTGTAGCCCAGGCATGTCCCAACATCGAGACCCTCCGGCTTTGCCCTATGGCACGTTTCCCCGCCGCGGCTGGACCCAGCCTTACGTTAGAAGGCGTTGCAGTTCTGACTCAGGGCTGCAAGCGACTACAGACACTTGCACTCGTGCTAGACGCCCACACGGAATCCGAGGAGACGTTTAACTCCCTCAATGCGTCCTCGCGGTCACTTCTCCGCTTACACGTGGGCCACTCCGTTGTCAATGATTCTCTTCAGACGACCATTCTTCTCAGTCACCTTGCGCCCTATTTGGAGACAATAAAGTGGTTCCATGAGAAGAACCGCCCCGGATATGTCGAGGCGAACGCAACAGGCTGGCAGAAGGTTTCGGACTGGCTGCCGCACATGCAAGGCATGCGCTTGATGGAGAGGGCCAGGGTTGTGCATCTTGCCACGCAGAAGCCCGAGACCCGGGAACAGAGTGTTGACGCTACTGTGACGCGCATCACTGTGGACAAGTCTCTGCAGGCCAAGCCTCGTATGGTTCAGCGCCATGTCCAAGTGTCGCCCAAACTGGTTGACAGGTCAACTGAGGCTAAGCCAGAGTTGGTCTCGATGTCCATTGATGCCACGCCGTCAATCATGGATACAAGCGTCGATGCTACTCCGGCGGTCTCACATCAGTCCGTCTCCATTCGGCCCAACATGGTCTCCACCGAAGTCGATGCATCGGTTCACACGGAAACCAAAGCTATCAGCGCCATCCAGGCACTACCCTTTGAAGAGTCCAACTCAGTTAACAAATATCCCGACCCCTTATATGCCTTCCCTTCTGTCATCCCTGCGGTCCTTGCTGGACTGATTACCTTCGCATGCCGTATTCTTACAACTTATCCTCTCACGATCCCTATGCATATGCTCGACAAATCTCTCTCCATCCTCCATGCTCAACCAAAAGAAGGGAACGATTCGTCCTCAGAAAAACACGAACTCAGGCCTTCTCCTGCGCACTCGGTTTCATCATCGACGTCGGAGCTCCTGGATCATGATATTCCTCCTGTTTGTCTATGAATTCCTTATCGCGACGGGACGCTTTACTCATTTGGTACACGGTGCTGGCGCTTATTATTAGGGTTACTATCACGCATATTATTCTAACGCAGACTGGAATGGCATGAAATTCACGAATGCTGTGGATGATCTACAAGACATTAAGGAAGTGGACAGGGAGGCAAGTATCGCTCCCGTTCAGGGGTCAGCCCAGAAATGGAAAGTCAGTGCAGAAAAGCAAATAATGCCAAACATTTTTGCGACGCGTCACTGCACACCAAAACAAGACAAGCCATATTCTAAGTCTCACTACTCGATTGCAATGGCTGAGGTTAGAAAACAGGAGAAGGACTTCACAAAGGAAGTTGACGAGCTCCTACCAGAGACTTCCGCTCTAGTCAAGGTGTGTGCAGAGTTGCATATGTGTCTTACTATTCGAACTGACGGAGCACCTTGATCTAGTCTGAATCTGTTCAGCTATCAGATGCCTTGGAGAGATTGCTTGCGCTGGAGAAGCAAACACGAAATGCACGTCTTGTTACTTTGACGACTTCTTCATACTCAACATTCCACGCATAGGCTAATGATCTGCCTTCCACGACGCGTCTAGCTAAAGCAGCACTTGAGCTCTGTTACGAATCCCGAGACTACACACAACTCAACAGCACCATCAGTTTACTGAGCAAGAAGCACGGCCAACTCAAAGTCGTTGTTCAGGCCATAGTCGAACAGGCAATATCGTGGCTGCCTGGGATTCGACAAGAGCAAGGTGTCGAGAAGTGGTTAGAGTTGGTTGAAACTCTGCGGTCCGTGACAGAGGGAAAGGCTAGTCCATCACGTTATGAACTATCGATACATCCTGATGGCGTTCTTTATAGATTTTTCTTGAGACGCCCCGTGCGCGCGTGACTCTCGCTCTCTCCCATTACCATGAAACTCTTTCCAAGGCTCCAAACGCTTTGGCAGCTACAATCAAAGAAGCACTACAAACAGCTTCTGATCTCCTTAGCGACCTGCAAGTAGAAACTTACTCTTCGATGGAGCGGAGGGAAAAGACGGAGTTCATTCTAGAGCAGATGAGGCTATTGATTGCAGTCGCTCGATTGAAAGACGCGGAAGTTCCCACAAAACAGGGGAAGAATGCACTTGGAAGTGGTGAGCCGGAATGGGTCAAGGCCAAAGTTGGCGGCCGCAAAGTCAACGAGTCGTTCCTGAAGGAGAAAGCAAATGAGGTTTGTCCGTTCATCATGGGACCTGATGGGCGAGACGCTCGATGACTGACTGGATCTAGGATCTCAAACTCAAATATTATGATCTAATGATCCAACAAGCTCTCCATCAAAGTGCGTATCTGGAAGTGGCGAAGCACTATGAGAAGGTTTGGGATACGCCGTCGATAAAGGAGGATGAGAGCAAAAGCCGTGCTGTGCGTACTTCTTATTCCCATCAGGCCTTATAATAATGACTGACGAGTTACGGTCTTCAGGCCCTCGAACACATCGTTTATTACGTAGTGCTTGCGCCTCATGACAACGAACAGTCAGACATGCTACACCATTTGTTTGCTAACCCCGCACTCGAGAAGCTTGAGCTCCATTAGTGAGACCATTGTCCTGTGTTGACGTCAATACTGATTCTTGGACAGTAACCTTGTCAAGTCATTTGTGACCCGTGAATTGATGAGGTGGCCCGGAATTGAATCTTTGTATGGACCTTTCTTGCGAACAACGCCGGTGTTCTCGGTTTCCAAGCAATGGGAGGACCTCCATACCCGCGTCGTCGAACATGTGAATTAAATTCATTTATTTAACCGAGTGTACTACTAATTTCCGTTTTTTTTTTCAGAATGTACGCGTGGTCGCGCAGTATTACACTCGAATCACCCTCTCCCGTCTCACGGTTCTTCTCGACCTTACACCACAGCAAACGGAAGAAACGCTTGCTCGGCTAGTGGTTTCACATACCATCTGGGCACGTGTAGACCGACCAGCAGGTATCGTCAACTTCAATAGTAAGCGCAGTGCAGAGGACGTGATGAATGATTGGAGTTCGGACATGCAAAAGCTACTTGGACTTGTAGAGAAGACTTGGATAGGGATGAACGCGGCACAGGCTGCTCAGTCTCGCATCAAGGCATAGTCGTGTATTATTACTGGCAGCTTATGCTCTTGATATAATGCTTTAATACATTAACAAGTCTATGGCTGAGAATTGCAAGGTAATAATCTCTATGCTATGGGTTTGAGCTTAGTATTTTAGCAAACTCTTGACTCGCGGCGACATAATCCCGCTCCATGGACTGCACAGGCTTCCCAGTTTCTGATGCAGCCGCCAGTTCATCTGCCGGAAGGTAGGTCGGACGGATACCTTGCTTCCAACTCCTGGTATATTGTTGTCCTCTGTCAAAATCTCCCATCCCGCTGTCCACATCCAAGATGGCCTTCCACCTCTTGCGAGCGAGAAGAGCACCCCTGTCAAGCTCAACCTTGCGGTCTGCCGATTGGTAAACTGCATCTTCCTTCTCGAACGTCCGGTCAATTTCAGATGGGAAGACAGTGCCATAAGCTTCAGCCTCCATTCGAGCAAAGGTGTTCGCAAAATCGTGCCCAGCTCGTAGTGATCTAAACTCTGCAACAGCGCGTGTGTACGCAATGCTAAGAGCCATTTTGTGGTGGGTGTGCAGGTTAACAGCAAAATGAACAGTGCTAACAAAACGGAAGTTGCTATGTTATTCGACGATTGACTGAAAGAAAGAACTACTTACTCTTCCGGGGAAGGGTTGAGTCCTCTTTGTGCTAGCCGTGTCCAATCTGTTCCTCGTACTGGATGCTCATCCTCTACTTCGCGACCTTCAACAATGCTAACAGGCCTGAATGCCTCAAATGGATGGTCGCGGAAGAATTGCCGACGAACTTTGTCCTCCAAGTAGAATATAGGTAACGGTTCAGTCTTTGGTTTCCGCATTTTTCTACTGAACGACAACCGACAGTCTTCACGGACTGGGGGAGCTCTTGGAGGAAGAGGAAGGGGAGGATGTTCGAGAACTGCTTGAAACCACACAGGCTCGTTCTTGATGTAATTCGCGCGCATGAGCCGCGCGGCCTGCTTGTGCACCTGTGAAGCAATTCGGCGCACCATTTTGACGACGGCGGCAGTAAAACAAGAGCAAAGATTCAGAAATGACCGCCAAGTTTGTTTGGATCACAAGCCTTTGCCAAACAACTGTCACATGGAACGGCAGCAGCTTTTATTAACATGATGATGATAATATCAATCCTTGGCAAAATCTTCGCATAGATTTCGCGTTACTGATTCTCTGTACACTTCATACTGCACATGAGCACTGATGGACGAAGAGGAAGCTGAACTTCGTAATCCCTTTCCCTCACCGCCATCTCATTACAACAACTATACATCGCATAACCTGAAGCTACTTGCTTTACTCAAGGAACGAGTCGGGGATCAAAATGCTGATCTTGGGATAGTAGACCAGCATGAATTACTCTCAGATCAAACCAACGTACCTACATGGTCGCTGGCCCAGCTTGAGAAACCACGAGTAGACTGGGTCCTTGAAGAAGGCCACTATAGCGTGTTCGGGGATACGTGGTTTGTATGCATGCTGCTTTGCATTCAATATAGTGTCTGATTTTCTCCCAACTAGGTGAAAGAGACCATCCCGTCTCTAGCTGACCTTGGGGGACATGAGCTCTACCCTCCTGACCCAAGTACAGGTGAGATAGTCTCCTCGATACGTTCGCTGTTCTGAAGTTGTATCCCCTAAGATCGACGGCCTGCGCTTCTTGCTGTCCTGAGGTCAATACTGGTTACGTACTCCAATTTGACAGATGCAATTCTTGCACCACCACCACCACCTTCATCCTTAGCACAGCCAGAATGGCAACGTCAGCTTGGTTGGATCACGACACTTGCACAGAATCTTATGGCAGCCGCAAATGATCTACGACCCGTTCAGGTCTTTACTCTCACATTCTGATCCATGCGGTTGACTGATGTTTAGATAGGCTAGAGGAAATCTTGAACTCATGATGCAACGACAGCTGGAGCTGAGGCGCGAGGAAACGAAGAACATTCACTCGTGCGTGCCCCACTCTATGATTTCAATGTTATTGAATACGACAAGCTAGGCAATGTGATATTATCGAGGCTCGGCTGTTGGAGCTACGTTCTTCGGCTCAGGAAATGGCGGGTTCAGACCAGAAGTTGATTGCGAAACCCAGCGATTCTCAGGTAACTTTTACTTGTGCACGTCAACGTGAAACTGATTTCATGTAGGTACAGACATCTACGATCAATGTGTCCCTCGAAGATATGTTGCGTTGGGCAGAAGAGGTCCCATAAAATTCGCAGGTTCTCTTCCGGCGTGGTCGTGACACTTGCTTATGCTTATGTTGAGCGTCGTTCTGTTGTGTGTATGGCCCACTAAACCACATGACGTGCGCTGGGGTAGCGAATGGGCCGGGTGGTGGTCGTATTCTGACGTTCATTGTTTTGTCCCTTGTTCACCATTACAAGTCTTGATACAGGCCGTGTGCAATCCCACTTCTGCGCTACATCCCCTAGACCATGACGTGATCCTTGTTATGCCACTCACTCAAGGCAGCGGAAGACTTCGTCCGCTTTATTCGAACCTTACAAACCCATGCGTATGGTGGTGATGGTTCTATTTGCTATGTTGCAGCTCATCTTTTTGCGAGGCCTGTCTGGTTATTCGTAACTTATATTTGACGTATGCGCATGTTATACTGAACACTTCCCAGTTGAATAGACATACGCACCTGTGTCATCGCAAGGGGTACTAGTGGCTTCAAACGGTCGACCATTTTTTGGTACAGCACTTTCGAAATAAATTTCTCAGATGGCCACGACCCAAGACTCTTCCAAACAGCTGCGCAGTTGTATTACATCAACCCTTCCCAAAATATCACGCTTCTTTCAATGGCAACTCTTACTGCATCACGTCCCAAGCTCGAAGGTTTCGCCCTGGGTTGTGGAGTGAGGAAAGTTGGAGTAAAAAGTGTTATCTCACCTGGTGCCTTATACTTATCTGAACTGGTACTGCGCACATGGCAACGCTGTGAAGTTTAGGGGTTCGCAAGGCGTCTGGCGCAAGTACATTTCGTTCGAACTTTATTGCCTCGCTGACTGCTCTCACCAGTATCAGCTCCTTTCTGTCATGAATCCGCATGCGATATCATTTAATTTGGAAGGTGCGGCACGTACTGGTTTCCCAAACTCAAATGTGTGCGTGCCTGGTTTCGTATGCTGTTGAGTTAGAGAGGGTATCATCCCGATGGAGTGGAAGGTACTTCTTTAATGTCAATTTTAAATCTACGCACTGATGTATGTGGCAAGGCGAAGAAGTTCATGAGGAGCAACAGCGTATCGTCGGACAGAATTAAGGTAATGATCACAATATCTCGGTGGTAACCCTACTTTGAGTTCATCTGCGTGAAGTTGCACCGGTATACGAAGTAAGCTAGAATCTTCTAGATGTTTGTCCAATGGCACAGGTTTTCCGATACCCAACATGGTAACGAAATCACGATTGAAATGATCGTTATTTCCTGTAAACAATATTGACGAAATTCCTTATGTAGTGGGTTTGAGCCCATGTCTGAGCGACCCCCAAATGGGTGGCGGGCACCAAACCTGATTAACTTTAGTAGCGTCACATTCACGTTTATAGGTTTGTTCAAAAACAGAATCAATCAACAGATTCAACACAATCAATAGTCCTTTCTTCTTCTGCATTCATGTCCACTAGGCGGAGAATTGGCGTCAGCATCGCAACAACGGAGGCTGCAAGACGCCAACTCATGCAGCCAGTTGTTTGCTGGGAGAAAGTATGGACCGTTCCAGAAAATGCCGTTCCAAATTCTTCTGTGAAGATCTACAAGTGGGTGAAGACAGATAGAAAACAAGTAAGTAGTCTGACCTATTGATAGAGTGACTTCGAAATTCTAGCCAACCTTGAAGCAATTTAGTGACGATGAAGGAGAAGTGGACGAACCACTAGCGCCCCTTCCCGACGAACCTGAGGTAGTGGAAGGAGACGAAGAGATGGACCAGGACGAGCCAGTTGCCTCTGTAGCTCCCGATGCAGAAGTACCTGCGGTGGATACGGAGACGAACTCAGTTAATCAGGAAATTCCGTCAGAACCCCAAACCAAACCATCCTCGCCAACACCTCCTGCACTTTCGCTCCAAGCTACTGAACCTATATTGGTCACGGAGGAGGTTGTAGACATGTTGGACGAGTCACTCAAAGCTCTTGATGGCGATGTGGATATCGAAATCGGTGTACACGAGAACGCCAATCTTGAAGAAGTTGGAGACCTGGATATGACAGTGCTCGGGCCTGATGGAACTACGTTTGAAGGTGTTCATGACCTCAGTCAAATGGACAGCGGCGACGCATTATTGGGTGGACCTCTCATGGATCACACAGTTGACCCATTCGCTGTAAACCTGAATGATGATGAGTCTGCCGAGGGAGCAGTTCCATGACCCCCACTCTGATTGCACCAGGTACACCTCCATGCAGTGATATACCATCCACCTTGAAACTGACTCATTTTACTTCATCAGTTGTAGTTGCTCCTGTGCAAACTACTACTCGCTTCTTGCTACAACAATGTAGTCGGTTGTTCTCGATGCCGAAGACCCTGGAATCGTACTCCCATTCCCAAAATTGACGTAGTATCCAGTGCTGTACTGCTGCTCATACAAGAGCAGTCGAGGTTTATATTCTTGTCATTCTTAGGAGGAGATTATACTATGGGCGTCGGTATTCGAAGCGGTGGAGTGTACTCTATCGTGCTTTCTGATCTTTGTAGATGCTTACCTTTACCCTTAAGCTAAGTTTGGACCCTTATGCCCATCAAATGCCCAAGCGCTTAAGCGTGGCCGCAGTAACTACGTGGCCTAGGGACTCGATCATCGATCGCTACATAAGTGACTAGCATCACCTAGCTAACATGGGGGACACGTTACAATGCCTCATCCTCGCAAAGTATGCAACACCTATTTTTGCACTTTTGAAGTTTGTGCTTGTTTCATATCGCTGGGCCCCCATCGCCAACGTTCGTACTGTTGGTGTTACTTCTCGCGATTCTCCGTATACGCCAGTGGGGCCCGAATCACATTTACAGAACTAATGTTATTCTGGATAGCTATCGCAGCTCATCTTTTGCTTATTACTCCTCCCCTCCTAATGTTCTATCAAACTCATCACGATCACTTATTGCATTTGAAGTCATGCGTGCTATCACAAACTTATGCACTATTGTGACACTTTATGTAGATATCCGACTCAGTCGTTGACTCCAAACAACATGGGCTCAGATCACCTCTTCCCATTTGTATGGGCCATGGCGTGAAGTGCTATATCGCACATCTCCCCTGCTGGGAGACTTCCGAACTGGAGTCCAGTTTCTACGTCTGGACATGTCGCTGCCTGTACCGTTCTGTGTCCGGAAGGACAGTCATGCTCACGGGTTCCAGCGAAGAGGATATTCATCTGCCCACTGCTGGTGCACATCAAGGAGGCGCTCGCGGAATCTCTCTAGCACTGGGGACTTCACTTGTCGCACTCACCCTTCCCTTTTTACATGTCAGTCTACCCGCTCGAATTGATACATTGTTTGAAGTTTCGTCACTGGGCGTTGCCTGCGCTCGCGAAGATCGACACCCAGCTCTCGGTGATAATTTCATTGCCGAGACCAGTAAATTAACTTCGCAAGCCCACCAAATTCTATGGCCTGAAAGCGTGGTAGTGTTCAACAGTCAGGAGGAGTGAAGCTGCATTCGAAGATATGCGCAAGGATGTCCGGAGAGTCTGTCATCGGGATTCGAGGAATTCGTCCTTCAAGGTCTGTCGAACCCCAGTGGATATCGCATGAGGTGTCATAGGTTGACGCTCGTTCAACGCGAACAGAAAAATGAAGGTTGTCTAGTATTACAAGTAGAAATTGATACCATACACGATCTTGCCGGCCATCGGTCTCGCAATGCGGGAGCAAGCCAAATTGCGTGCTAATGAAATTGGCAGCATGGCGCTGTGGTTTGACGGGCAACGGGAGTCAGTGGCGTTCAAGCAGGTGGGGGGTTTCGCGGTTTAAATCCGGATTTTGGTTTCGCACCATTGGCCTGCCGTACTTCCTTTTCTGCCAAGGAAGGACTGCCGGGTTAGCGAAATAGGTGTGTTTGCTTTCTTGCTGGCGATCATACGTGGAGGCTCGGTAACCAGGTACCTGCCAGCACTAGTATTCGGATGTTATTCAGTCCTGGATGGCAGAATCGGAAGGACCGATCAAGATATTGACATTGATCATAGCTTACTGCACTAACCATCATTTCTGCAGTGCATTGAAAATAATGTGCCTGTTCGTTCTTCCCTGGTTCTGTCTGCCCTCCCATACTACGTGTTTGTCGATAATCTATAGGCAAGTGCCAATGTCGACCGTGTCTGCAGAGATATTGCTTGTCAAAAATGCTTGTGCGCATGCGATATATGATATATCAGTTTATTGCAACGCATTGCGAAACTCGGTGTTTACAAGTGCAGATGAAATTTGCTATAACGCCAGAGAGAGACAGTGGTGAAGGGCAAATATAGGCAATAAATCAACTTGAAGAGCTGACAGTCGGCGAAAAAAGAGGGTTTCGTGGAGACACTTCACGGACGACACCCTACGAGACAAGGTCTTCAGATGTGGATGGCAGGGCGCATTTCGGCAGTGTATCGAGTAGACATTCGCCACATATGTGTTCATCGAACGTTCATCTCCCGAAAGGAAGTGTGGGCGAGTCTGACGTCGAGGTTCTCGACGACGCCCAAAAGTTCCAAAGCTGCGGTGACAATCAGCCGTGTTTGGCTTTCATCAAGCTTTCATTCAAAGTTTCGTTAGACTACAATGACGGTATACTGTGGTTATAACTTACAGCAAATTGAATTAAATGAGGGGCCGTCTTGCACGATTTCTGTCAGAGGCTCGGTAGAATGCCGCACTGCGGCGGACACTGGCGTGCGCACTCGTCAGGAACACATTGTGCTTGTCGTTCCCCCGGAATATTGAACAGGTTTTGATGTCGTCCAGGTCAAGCTTAAGATTTGATGTTGAGTCGAACGTTGGTCGAACGACCTACTTTTAGAGTCCGAGCTTTGGTACCATTTCAAGCCAAGCTTCTTGTTCTCATCGTATAAAACTTGCCCGCAGCAATCACGCAGTCTTTCAAGGACTTGCTCAACAACAACCATCATCATCGCCTATATACCATGGGGGACACCGTACAATCCCTCATCCTCGCCAAAAACCCCACACTGATCTTTGGGGTTAGCGAGTTTATACTCGCATTGCTATCTTTGAGCCCTACCCCAACATTTGTACCGTTGGTACTGCTCCTAACCATTCTGCGCGTCCATGGGATGCGCATCGCGTACAGAAACACTCGAGTATTGGAGCTAATGTGCTCTTGGGTAGCCGTGACGGCGGGCGCTTCATTAGCGCACTACTCCTCCGCAACAAATGCACTATCAAGTTCGTCACAGGCGTTTGCTGCGGTTGCGGTGATGTCCGCAATGACATACGTGTTGGCAATCTTGCCGTTTTATGTAGATATACAATTTCATCGCAAATTCCCAACCGTCTGGGCTCAGGTCACCTTCCTACCCGTTGTATGGGCGACGATGTGGGCTATCGTATCTCACCTCTCCCCCATGGGGAGACTCCTAAATTGGAGTCCAGTCTCCTCTTCCCATCCTTTTAATTGGCTACTACCCTATACAGGGCCAATGGGCATCGACTGGGCCGTCGGTGCCTGTGCGGCTCTGTCTTCGGAAGTCGCAGCTGCTTGGCTAATGAGCGCCGACAACGATGAGCAGCCGGTTCACCTGTCTACTTCGTCCGGTGAAGCGCAATCCAACAGGCGCTCGCGGAGTCTTCTCACTTTAGGAACACTCCTTGTTGCACTCACCCTTCCATCCCTACATGTCAGGCTACCCGCTCGAACCGATACAATATTCGATACTTCGCCGCTGGGTGTTGCCTGCGCCCTCCCACTCGTCCACAAAGGTCAAAATCCAACTCTCGCCGACTTCATAATTGAGACCAAAAAATTAACTTCGCAGGCCAAGGTAGTTCTGTGGCCTGAAAGTGCGGTAGAGTTCAGTAGTCAGGGGGAGAGGGAAGCCGCGTTCGAAGAGTTGCGCAAGGACATCCAAAAATCTGTTATCGGAGTCGCCTTTGAGGAATCCGTGCCTCTAGATCCGTCAAACCCCGGTGGATCTCGCAAGCGACGCAACGGACTTGCCCTTGTCCATGAAGGACAGAAGAAAGGCGAGGAAGTTGTTCAGTATTACAAACGGAACCTCGTTCCGTGTACGTCCTTCTATGTGATCGTGACCTTGCCGAGCGTCTGACAGTCAGATAGTTACAGAATCCTTCTCGGCAATTCCGTCAACTGACCCTCCGGCTCTATACAACTTCGAGCTTGGCCCTCCAAAATGGGCGACGAAACCCGAATGGTCCTCGACGCCTAATCATACCCGCCCGCTTACCATCACATCTTCGATCTGTTTTGATTTCGCGTTCTCTTCTGCGTTTAGTTCGCTTGACTCTAAACCAGCTTTGATCCTGGCACCGGCTCGCACATGGGACTCCACCGTCAGTCTTGCGATGTGGGAGCAGGCAAAGTCCCGTGCAAACGAAATTGGGAGCGTGGTGTTGTGGTGTGACGGAGGGGCAACGGGAGTCAGCGGCGTTGGAGGTGGGGGCATCTCGGAGATTATGCAACTTGGCTCCGGATCGTGGACTCGCATGATCGGCTTGCAGTTCCCATTCAACCAAAGCAAGACAGTCTATGCCGTGGTTGGAGACTTCGGTGTGCTCGTTTTGTTAATCGCAATCATGATGGGTGGAAGCTCAGTTGTTCGTCACCTGCCGGCACTTTCCGGTAGCCTCTCCGGTAGCCGTTCTGTCCTGCAAGCAGTGCCGCTCTTGCGGCGTCTCCTCCCTGGTAGACGGAGGGATCAAGAGAGCCTGATTGATGTTACAGTGCCGGGTGAGAGGCAGAGCCTACTGTAAATGACAACTCGTTTTTTTGTTTGATTCAGCTTGCCCTGTGTACTTATAGTTACCAGTGTCTGTCATTCTGCTTATCACGAACACAATTCTTTATATCAGCTGTTTGCTTTTCTCACTCGGATGAAACAATGAAAATGATTGATGTCTTGGAGCTGAATCAGGAGATGCTCACAGCAAGGGACGATCATGATACTATTTCACCCGTTCTGGTCCTAATTACTCCTCGCATACCTTTATCGCTTGCAGTGATGTCCATCCGGTCAGCGCAGCACACAACACCGAGGTCTCCGCCGGCCTGGGTACCTTCAATTTGAATCGGATGTTTTGGGACTTGCTTCATTCTCCGACTTCGCCTGGAGCTGCACGTTGCTAGATCTCCGCAGCTGTAAGGCGTGCCTGCAAAGCATCTACAGGGGTCATCCAATATGAGAAAGTCGCGCGCTCCATTTGTAAGAAGGGTTTCCGATATTATAGATATGATCCGGATCCCGGACATCTCATTGGGCTCAAGCATGTGTAGGGGCGATGCTGACTTCGACTTATAGAAAACCCTGAGCTTGCCAAGAGCTCGTGAACGGTGTAGTGCACGATCACGAAGCCGCTGCAATCGTCACGCGACGTCCTGACGACATGAAACCGGGCTTCCGCGGTTTCGTAGTACGCAGTGCTGTTGTTGCAGATGCTCAGAGGAGCAGAGGGGCTGGCGAAGAAGGCGTCCGTGAAAATAATGTCCGCTCAAGCTGACATGTGAGCTCATCTCCGATGGACATATGACATGTTGGAGCTACTCGGACATTGAAATAGTCGAGTTGGGGTTTAGATGGGGATCTCTATGAATAATACATGATATCAGAAGTTGAAAACGCTGCTTTACTCTGATCGAGGAGCCTGAATGTCACGATGCTAGAGCCAGATTGGTGGAAGTAGTCTGAGACCGGCAAATACTGCGTATCTGATCAGAACATATAAGAAGACGAATTCTTTTTGTATCATGGCGGACTTGCCGCCAGAAAACTCGAGTCCAGCGTCACCCAATGCATTGGACTACCGAATAATCATTTCTGGCTCAACATGGATGTTATTCATGATACCACGTACGAGTAATTTACACCACGATCTACTGCAGCACGGTGCATGAAACTCGACCGTTTGCCTTGTGATACTACGAGAAAACGTTATCAGTGCCAGTGCGTTATCAGTATGAGACTCATGGTGCTGCTGATAGCCAGTGATAATAATGCATGCAAGGCAAGCGGTTGTAATGCTTCTATCAGCATGCGCAGCTCAACTCCAAAGGTTGTCTAGGAAGAGAACGAGTTGAAGCTCTGGGTGGCTTGGGCGTGTTTTTCCTGATCAAGAAAGAAAAGGCGTCATTGCTGGCAGCAATTCCCCATGCTTTGATTAATCTGTATGTAAGTGCCAGAATGAAAATATCGAACCTATTTTGAGCCAAAATGAGCGCCCTGTGGAAACGGAGAATGAGTAGCTTATCAGAGGCAGTACTTGCTGATGATACTTCTGAAGCATGATGTCCACGGGTGGTTAGTAGACGTGAGTGAGTTTCAGCGTAATAATCATCGCAATCTGAAGATTCTGAACGTACTTAATCTAGTGTACAACTTAAGGCGATGATACTACGGTCAAAGCTTATGTAACAGATTGATACCGAGTGCCGATCACATATAGTTTGTGTAGCCTCGAGGCAGGTCAGCGGAAAACTAACAAGTTTTACAGAAAACACGAGGACAAGGACTGGTGAGTAATTGAACCAGATGTAGCTTCTCTTTTGCACCTCTTAGTCGTCAGGAATCCACGTTACAATCACGCTGACACAGCGCCTGATTTTCTTCAAAGGTCACTCCTCCCAGCTTTATTCTCTTCTCCTTACAAGTCCATATCACAAGGACTTGGAGCAGATACAACGTCGCCATCAACCTACTTCCAGTCGAGACTACCTCGCGGCCTTCGAGGGTCTTTGCGCAGCTCGGCTCAGACTCTTGATCCAACTCGTTTACTCTCCCGCACTTTCAAAGGGCGAGGTAACCAAGGTCTCTTTTCAAAGAAGCATCCAGAGACTACCCCAGAGCAGGAGCAGCAACCACAAGGTGAAGAAATCGAGGAATTTGAACTCGTAAATCGAGAAGATCTTCCAATTCGTCTCGACGACGAGTCTCTAGTTCGTCCTAATCCAGAACCTTCCATTGGGGAAACGTACGATAAGCCCTCCTCTGATCCATCCACCCCTTCTAAACCACCAACACATTCACGTACCAAATCCGCTTTATATCGCCTTAAAAACTTATCCAAGGCGTCCCTTCACTTGTCGGCTTTCAATTCCGGTCGGCAAACAGTCCAGTCCAATCGGGCAGCGGAAGTCTCCGACATCTATCTTGCATTCCCAAGACCCCCAACTCACATACCTACTCCGATCGCTTCGGCGTACGCAACATCCTCACTTGCGAGCTCGACACTTGTCACTGCCAATCAGGAACTTGACGACACTTGCTCTACCCTTCGTGTCACCCCTCCATTTACAAACGACTTCATTCTTCGCGGTCCTCCTCTCGTTGACTCACCTTTCGACCTTGACGCAAATCCAGAACTTTCTAGCACTCCGACTCAGACATCCGGACCATTTACGTCTGCTACTGCGCTTGACTTTGACGTCAGAAGGAGTCGTAAAGATACTGGCTCATTAAAGCGCTTCAGGTCTTTATCAAGGTTATTGCACGATTCTTTCAACTCTCGCACTTCAGACGTTTCGTCCGGTGATACCATTAGAAGTAGGAAGAGAGCATCAAGCAAAGCAACCTCACTATCCCTCTCGGTTCAGTCTGCATTCACAGAACCCCTCCATTCTTCCCCTTCGAATCTTGTCATCGAGCCTGCAGCTGAGAACTCTTCAAACCCTTCTGAGGCCGCTCTTGTTGTTTTAGCTCGCAAGGCAGCTATAACAGGTGAATCATCATCACCAGCAGCCCTTCCAATCCCACCGCCTGCCAGTGACGCCTTACATCCAGAGCAAGTCGCGAAACCGTCTCCCGTTATCAGTCACGCGTGTGTTGATCCATCGGAGTTTACTGCCTCACCATCACCATTCGATACCAACTCACTTCTCAGCCCATCATCACGTACATCATTCATTCCACCATCCCCTTCTTGGCTCAGTCGAAACGTACAGAACCGTGATCTATTTGACTATCGCACCATCTTCCCACCTTCGAGGATATCTCTGCTGACAGACTCGGAGCACTTAAAAATTCCGGAGATTAGCACATATTTTACTTCTGCACTTTTTGCTCCCGACTCCCCTAGACCCTTGCCTGTTCCGATACCTTTCCTTCCGGTTCCCCCACCACAGCCTCTTTACGCTCACGCATCACCTTACAAGCCTGTTCTTCAGCGAGTAGTCACCGATATTTATTTGGAGACACCTGAAGCAGACCGGGACTCACTTGCAACTCCGCGTTCCATTGTAGAATCCTCTTCCAGCGATTCCGGCACTTCCAGCATAATATCAAGTTCTGCTTTCGTATCGGCGCAACCCTCACCTTCCGCGGCATTATATCATCGATTATCGACGGTCAGCCGTATTAGTGCGGAGCGTCACCGCCAATCAATCGCTGCCCGGAAGACCCGTCTGAGCAGTCCTGGTTCTAGACGTTTGTCATCCAAGGAGAATAGACAGTCTCTGAATCCTCTGTTCAAGGCAAGGAATGTTTCTTATTTCCTCTTAGGCATCCCGCTGATCCCGAATTCACAGGAGTTATCTCCATCATCGTCTTCCCGAAAACATCTCTCACCCTCATCTAACACTCTCAATCTCAGCGTCCCCACTTCTCTTTCCCCACTTCCATCGTATGTCCACGTCATACGCCACTTGAAACGCATTGGCTGACCTTCGTCCTGATAAAGCGAGAACTCTTTCAATTTACACGCTATCTTCACCCCTTCCTCTCAAGCACAAGACTCTGCCCCACTTGATTCGATACCTTTACCAAAGGATCTCACCACACTACTTGAAACTTTACGTCTTGAAACCAGCCCTCCTCCTAATCGTCAAATAATGGATTACACGGCGAAGAACGCTGAGCACGTAGATTTTGGTGGAGAAGTGGACTACTCTGGACACCAGTGGTTCCAGGAGCCGCCTCCGAGGCCAGAGGTACGTCCTTACCATCACTACTACCGCCCAAGTCAGACACTAACGCCTCATGCAGCCCCCGCCTGTGGTCGAACCATACATCCCAGAACAAAGCGTTATCATGCAAAACGAAGCATTCGGCTTTGCACTGGGGGCAGCACCCAACGTTCTCTACGGTCGTTACAAGCAATACGGCCAAGTAAGTCTCCTTCCCTTCCAAACCCCAACCCAGTACTGACGCACAAGAACAGCTAGGCGTACTAGCGTGGTGTTCCGAATTCGGAGAACTGATCGACAGCCTGAAAGAGCTTGGGTTCCGAGGCAACATGTTTGTCACAACACGCACGCAAGCTCTCCGCACCTGCGAAGAAATCCTCAAACTCAAACTCGACATCGAGATGCAGATCATCTTGATGTACCTCTCATCGCAAGTCATGCGGTTACGTCGCTTCCTCGATGGGGAACGCCAATGGAACGATTACCCCATGCCAAAGTTCCCGCTGCCAGACTATCCACAGTTTGGTCCCTCGTCATGAAACTGTGAACTCTGTACACTTTTCTATTGCTTTACTTACTTTTACTTACTTTTGATGGTTTTGGATTGCGGCATGTCTTGTTTGTTGGTTCGGCTCATGTGCATAACGTTCACATCAAGCTCTCTCATAATCACACTTTGCATATCTCCTGTATCGAGCTCAAAGCGAATTGTACTTATAGCGAAATTCAATCACTTTCATCCTTTGCAAAGAGTGAGGGGAATCATGATTGCAAATAGTAGTCGAAGCATTGCGCTCAATTAATCGAGCTGGTACATAAAATGTCTCCAGTCCAAATCAATAGCAAATGAGTAGCGAGACAAAGTGAGTCGGAAAGACGTCCGCCTAATCACAAAGTCCCGAGGGAACTGAAGAAAGAAAAATAATAATTGCGGTATGAATTAGTACGTGTATCTGAACGCTGAAATGTGTGATCGTGAGCGGTGTGGTATATCAATGTGAGGGAATGGGTGAGTAAGTTACTTGTTCGTCCAATAATCCGAGGAAGCTCCACTACCTCGATCTGCAAGCGTTGACAAGTGCGCGGGTTGATAGGATGATTCACGTGGGGGACGGGGTAGAGGGTTCTGGCGAGACGCGTGATCTGCCGGAGACTCTGTAGAAGGGAACATGAAAGAGTTGGGGGCGGATCGGTAAACAGACTGGTGGGAAGCCTGATGAAGTATCTGTCCATACGGAGACGAGGCAGTATAGATGATTGGGGGAGGCGCAGAAGGCATGTTGGCATAAAATACACTTGCGGGCATAGGATGTGCTTGGAGCGGCTGAACAAGGTATGACGTGTGACTCGAACCGTGCCCAGAGGCATCTACTCTGAACTCTCCGTTGATATGCGGTGAATCGCGACTGGACGGTGAGGCAATCACGTTGGACTCCTGGTGATTCATGCTTCTGCCCTTCCATAAGCGATCCATTTCCCATGCCTCGCGTGCGCGAAGGGCATTGATATCTGCAGCAGATGGGAGTTCGGAGGTTGGACGAGTTAGGTTTGAGGGCAGGCGTTCGACATGTGCGATACCAGAAATAGCATTCGGACCAGGTCGGATGGGTTTTGGGTGGTAGGAGTCGCGTGGCCGGTCATCACTCTTGCGTTGACGAGGTGGCTCGCCTTGAAGCGTAAACACCATCGGCTGACTAACGCTCGTACGGGAGGTGGTGTCAAGACTACGCGCTCGTGAAGGACGTCCCGAGAGGGACCTGGAGTCAGCTGTTTCTGGTTTCGTCCGTTTCGTTCGACCTTGACTACTACTACCCGCACGTCCCTGGTTCTCGACAGCGTCCTGAGCAGTTTTATCCTGCCTTCGCTGATCCCTCCTGCTGCTCTCACGATCCTTCGTCGAGGACCGCGACGACGGCTTTTCGACCCTCTCGCTCTCACGGTAATTCGTTGAAGACCGGGACGATGGCTTCTCTACCCTTTCGACCCTCTCGCTCTCACGATAATTCATCGAAGACCGCGACGATGGTTTCTCTACCCTTTCCACCCTCTCGCTGTTCTCTACAGGCTTCTCCTTTGTCCGCCTCCGGCGAGGAACGTCAGAAGAATTGACAACAGTCCATCGCTCACCCTCAGCAGTGATAGTATTATCAGACGATAAAACCTTATCAGACGGGTTCCGCATCAACTTGAACGTCTCCGTCTTCCGGCTCGTTGTGGAGTTCGACTTGGCCACCCGTACTTCCCCGTCGCCCTTCTTGACGGGAGAGTTCTCCCGCGAGGGTGCCTTGCTCGGTACCCTCTCGATTTGGGGCAATTCAAGTGGGAGGTCTGGGTGTAATTCATCGGGGTTATGTGGCGTAGGCGGGTTGACCAGGACTGATGCCCTAGACAAGGGCGAATCATCCAACGTTGATACGATCGCGGTGGTGGCGATGGAGTAAGCATGGAATGTTTTGACCTCCGGGGGTGCCACGGGCGAGGTCAACAAGGAAGGCGCGCCCATTGACAACGAGGGAATAGACGGGGGGTGGTAATGGATGGATGGCGGTGGTAGTGACTGAACGCTCGCAGGAGAGCGAACCGCGTCAGGAACAGAGGTTGGTGCGGGCGCGGGGATTTTGCGTTTGATAGGCGATGTCTTGCCATTGGGATGAACCACTGACTCCCTGCTTGGGTTCCTATCGTGACGTTGCTGCACGGGCTGTAGTTGCGGTGAAACATCTATACGAGGCAGGTCCTCAGGCGGTAACGCAAGGCTTTGCCTAATCGAAGTAGTCCTTCCAGAACTCGGCGAATCTGGGTTTGCTATCGTTAACCGTCCAGGCGAAAATGGCACTTCCAATGAGATAGACGAGCGATGATCGGGTATCTCGCGCTCCAATTCTGTCGAAGGACCCAGCCCATCCGTTGTCTGCAAATCAATATCTATGCGTGGCGGCGGTACGCGCTTGGATGGATCCGAGTGCTTTTTCTCCATTGACGGCTTCTCTGGAGAAGGCTGTCGTTGGGAGAAAAAGGAGCGGCGAGGCTCAGAAGGCACAGCACCTTCATCCTCTGCTCGTTCGCTGATGGTAGGTCCCACGTCTTGAGTAGACTTGGTCAACATGCTGAACTTCCTCACCAGTCGACCTAGAACACTTGTTCGTCGTTCCTTCTTTGAAGAATGCGTTGATAGAGCTACAGTGGATACATTAGGCACGGAGGTGGGGAGAGCGGAGTGACGACGCGCAGATGTATCCGGCACTTGTAACGAATCCTGTCCACCGAACAGGTTGCCCAACACGGGTTTTCGGCGTTTGCTGAGTTTACGGGTGATGTTCGGTTCAGATGTTTGTGTGTTAAGTGCGGATGTAGACTGAGACAGTGGAGATGGTGTGACTGTCTTACGACGAATCGGTGCAGTATTCATGCTTGACAAACGAGAACGAGAGCGAGCCTGAAGAGAGAGATAAGGTTGAATGAAATTATGAGAGTAGAAGCCACTTGCCTCGGGGGGGTCAACTGAGACCGGACTTATATTTGTGCCTGTGTCGTACGGGGACTGGTGATGCCAGTGAGTACCCCAGGGGTCAGAGGCGTCGAGCAAATCGGCGTTATCCTGTGAAGTTTTTCTGCTACGAGGTTTACCACCTGATTCTGGGATACGAATCTGAGAGGAAGAGGGAGTTTGAAGGGAGGTGCCCGAGGGAGTGCGGCTTGGGCCAGGCAAGCGAATAGAGTCCTCTGAACGGTCGTTGAGAGTAGAAGCCATTGGTGGAAATGAGGGAGAAAAAACAGACGGAGGACGGGTACCAGCATTGAGCTGAGCAGGGGGAATAAGGTGGTGATTCTTGTACCACTTGGGACCTGTTGGATTATGCAAAGGAAATTTTATCCTGTAAGATGTGTTTGCAGCAGCCATGTCGTTCTCTTTCTTGAACCAAGCTGGTAGTTCACCCAAAGGATCTGGTATTATTGAACGAGAGACGAGAGTAGAAAAATCGTGGTCTTCGTCTGAAGTGTCGTTTGCGAGTTTTAAGTCCATGGAGACTAGAGATTGAGACGATTGTAGGTCCAGGTGTTTAAGTGCAGGTCCAGCGGCTGTAGCTGCTGCCAAGACAGCTGCGGTGGTCTTCTTTGTAGATTTTCTATTCCATAAAGACCTTCCTGATGTATTTTTTGAAGATCTTCTTGAAAGTTTACGCTGTGGTTGAGATTGTTCTTCCATCAGCTCTTCATGAGGGTTTGTTGCAACTAGACGGTCAAACACGCCGGCGCCTTGACTCTGGTAGTACAAGGGAAAAAGAAATTAGCGATCTCGTAACACGGAAGAACAAAGAGAACCGTAAGCCGGTCAGTCTGACCTGACGACTTGGTCCTCTTAGTGAGAGTATTGTACCTCTTCAAATGGTTCAAGAACACTTGAGAACACTGGATTTCTGTAATTTTCCATGATAGACTGATAGAGTCTGAGTCTTGTCGCTACTCCACCTCAATTATAGACCGGGGTCCTTATATTTATCATCCTTTCATCTTTGCGATGAGCACGCAGATCTTAATTCTAGGCAGCGGAGGCAGAGAACATGCTCTCGCATGGAAACTTGCGCAGTCCTCTACCGTAAAACATATATTCGTATGCCCCGGTAATCCAGGATCAGCTAAAAATCAAAAAACTTCAAACCTTGATCTGCCGCTCATCCACCCTTACAAAGATATCGTAGATTTTGCTGTAAACGAAAAGGTATTTCTCTATCTACTTCATCTAATACTGGTTCTCATCCAACTAGATCAATCTCGTAGTACCCGGTCCAGAGGATCCTCTTGTTCTTGGCGTAGAAAAATGCTTTCGTGACGGTCATTATTTCCCCCATCATCGCCTTACATCTCCTCATCTTTCATCCAGTTGGCATACCCGTATTCGGTCCCACACAGCTAGCAGCTAGGATGGAAGGCTCCAAAGCCTTCTCCAAGGCGTTTATGCACCGTCATGCTATACCCACTGCTAAATTTAGAACATTTTCTTCTTCTCAGCTTCAGGACGCCACTAACTACGTTCAAACATGTGGTCACCCTGTCGTTTTAAAAGCCAGTGGCCTTGCAGGCGGAAAGGGCGTCCTCATTCCCTCCTCTACTAATGAGGCTCTCCAAGGTCTGCGATCTATCATGGTAGACAATGCCTTTGGATCGGCAGGTTTGTTTCTAGTGTTTCTCTACCTATAGATATAATCATATCATTTCGCAGGCGATGAGATCGTGATCGAGGAACTTCTCGAAGGTCCCGAGATCTCTGTGCTCGCGTTTTCTGATGGGTACACTATCGTACCCTTACCAGCCGCACAAGATCACAAGCGTATTGGCGAGGGGGACACCGGTCTCAATACTGGAGGCATGGGCGCCTATGCCCCTGCCCCTGTCGCAACACCTGCGATCATGGATCGTATCATGACGGAGTCTCTACGTCCCACCATCGACGGCATGCGCAAAGAAGGTATATCCATATCTTTTCTAGCCCGTCTCCCGTCTCCCGCTCATCTTCCTCAGGATTCCCTTTCGTCGGCCTCCTCTTCACAGGCTTCATGCTCACTGCTGACGGGCCCAAGGTCCTAGAATACAACGTGCGTTTCGGGGACCCCGAAACCGAGGCACTCATGATGCTCCTGAGTGACGATGTCGATCTCGCTGCAGTCCTTATCGTGCGTCCGTCCGTCATCAGTTTTTCCGAGAGGCTGTTGATTCCCCTATCAAACAGGCGTGTGCAGAACGCCACCTCGATTCAGTCCAGATCACCACGCGTCCAGGCTTCTCGGTTTCTGTTATCCTCGTTTCGGGGGGATATCCCGATAGCTATGCCAAGGGGAAACCAATCCAAGTGGGCGAGGTCCCGTCTGGTATAGCCTTTTCTATTCGCTGATCTCGGGCGATCGATTAACCTTTTATGTCAGACGTGGTGGTGTTCCATTGTGGAACATCGATGAACGGAAATGATCTAGTCACATCTGGTGGCCGGGTCATGGCAGTAACATGCTCCGCGACTACCCTGGAACAAGCTCTTGCGCAAGTTTATGCTGCTGTCGACAAAATCTCATTCGAGGGCAAGTTCTACAGGCGAGACATCGCGCACAGGCAGGCACCTCATCCATCGGATCATGACTAAAGCTGACAGATCGTAGAGCACTGACATCACCAAGTCAAACTCCATCAAACGGCCTGACGTATGCGCAGGCCGGCGTCTCGGTAGATGCCGGAAATGCGTTCGTAGAAGCCATCAAGCCATATGTGCGCGCCACTAAGCGCTTCCGGTGCTGATGTGGAAATAGGAGGTTTTGGAGGTATTTTTGACCTCAAAGCAACCGGCTACAAAGATCCTGTGCTGGTCAGCGGGACAGACGGCGTGGGTACGAAACTTCGTATCGCTGTCGATGCCGGTATCCACCATCTGGTTGGTGAGTGAGTCACATCTGACCTGCTAATCAAATATGACAACTCCATCCCCAGGAATCGATCTCGTTGCGATGTCGGTCAACGACCTGCTTGTGCAGGGCGCCGAGCCGCTTTATTTCCTCGATTATTACGGATGCAGCAAACTAGATGTCGCTACTGCCGCGGACGTCGTCAAAGGTATCGCACAGGGCTGCCAACAAGCCGGCTGTGCCTTGATCGGTGGTGAAACGGCAGAGATGCCAGGGATGTACCAAGACGGTGAGAGCGTTCTCCACCCGCAGAATCCACCCTTCATTATAACAAAACAAACAAACAGGCGATTACGACCTCGCAGGCTTCGCGGTCGGCGCAGTCGAGCGTAGTTCGATCCTCCCCCGAGCAGATATCATGCCAGGAGACGTCCTCCTCGGAATTGCATCTTCTGGAATCCACTCGAACGGGTTCTCGCTCGTTCGAAAAGTCATCGAGATGACAGGCCTGTCATACTCCTCGGCATGTCCGTGGGACGATCAAAAGACTCTCGCCCTCAGTCTTCTGGAGCCGACCAGGATATACGTCAAGCAAGTTCTCCCAGCTGTACACCAAGGATTTCTAAAAGGCATGTCTCACATCACGGGGGGTGGTTTTATCGAGAATATCCCGCGGGTGCTGCCAAAAGGAATGGGCGCATTCATCGATGCGTCGACTTGGCAGCTCCCCCCTGTGTTCCGGTTCCTGATGCAGCGTGGGGGAATCGCCCCTTTGGAAATGGCTCGTACGTTCAATAATGGTATCGGGTTGGTGCTCATTGTGGGGCGAGAGGATGTGGATAGGGCTGTGCAGGTCTTGCAGGGGACTGCTGACGCTGCTGTTTATCGAATTGGTGAGGTGACGGATAAAAGTGGGGTTGAGATGAAAAATTTGGAGTATTGGAGTCCTCAATAGCAAAATGCTTGGTTATATAGACATACCAGGAACAAGTGGAGTTTGACAACTCGTCTAAATATCAGTAAGTCATATGCCTTTTACATTGAAGCCACATTGAAGCACATTAAGCCACATTCACCCGATAAACGAGACGCGAAAGTGTCTTGTATTTGCTTTCGCAGAACGGTGTCTCGATCATAAGTACGGTATGCATGAAAACATTGCGATATTGATACTGAATGTGAGCAAGATATGAGATGAGATGGGAGGGGGAGCCAGTGTCACAGTAGTCGAAAGTGGATGTAGATAGTATGTGTACCCCAGCAGGCAGATCAACACCAGTAGATAAATGAGACGAGACGAGCGCAATGAGAGAGAAAAAACGTACTCTTCTAGATATCAAGGGTACCAAGTGAAAAACTGTAATGCTGTATTGACCAGACGAAAAAAGACAAGTGTGAAATCATGGCAATGTATAATGTGTATGCGGAAAAGATCCAGTAACAGAAGGGAAAAAGATATGGTAGCAAGGATAAATAAATGGAGTCGGATGAATGAACCAAGAAATATCATATTAAAGTAAAGCCCAAACCCGATGATGACATAGATGTAAAGATAAGTCCGTCTTACGCGGAGACAGACACCTCCTTTGCAACTTCAGGCGTGGTACCCGTCGCAGCAGCTGCGAAAGAGAGGGGCAACTTGGCAGGGGGTGGGACAGTAGCAGGCGTGCCATTAGGCTGTACGCCATTGACCCCAGCAGGCTTCAATTCCTAAGAACCAATCAGTCCAGCACACAAAACTACTGCTAATAAAACTTTACAGCCTGGTTTTTCACAGAATTCTGTTCTGGAGATGCAACACGAGTTACTGGGTCTTTTGTAGTATCCTTGCGAGCAGGCGCGGGCGCTTGAAGCACTTGTGCTGCCGTCGGACCGCACGACCCATTGACGGAGCTTCTCGACGAATTCGTCGAACCGCCAAGTACAGGGAACTCATCTGCATTGGGAACCCTCTGCTTTGGGGCAGTTTTTTTCTCCGTTCGAGGCAGACCATTGGACTTCGTTCCCCTCGAGCGGCTGCCGTCCGTCGATTGAGATCGGCTAGAAGCTGCAGTGCCGTTCACGCGAGGCTGGGCATCCTGTAAACCAATCAGGGCAAATCTTGGAATTAGAAGGATGATCATACTTCTCGAACGTTCAAGTTGGCCATTTTTTCGTCAATCGTAGGGATACCGTTCGGTCCATTTCGCGCATTATCCCTTGAACGTGGTCCCCGCCCATTAAAATGAGGGGGTTGAGTATTCGTAACGTCAGGAAGAACATGAGGGAAACGACAGTCATCGCTGGATATTTGTATTAAATATAAAGCAATGAATAGTAGAATCAGGATGACTCACCCATTTCTGCACCTGCCTGCAGGATAAAAGAGGCAAGCCGGTTTACGACTTCCGCCGAAGGATCCACGCCTCATACTACCCCGGCGATTATGATTCACGCCCTGGCGGAACACTGGACCGTGGCCAAAGCCCTCAGCATGAGGTGGCTTTGGCCCACCATTAACTTCATTAAATCCATGGTGGTGCTGGTGGTGTGGGCCGTGAGATTGATATGGTGCAGGATCTTGACGAACAGCGAATGGAGGTGCGGAAATCGGCCCATTCGGATATACTGTCTGCGGAGATTGCGGACCTGGTGCACTAGGTGGTTGGTGGGGAGGCGGAAGCGAGGGGATAGAAAGTGGAAGAGGTGCGTGAGATGGTGGTGGGTACGATGGTGATACAGGCGATACAGCACCGTATGGTACTGGTGCAGGTCCAGCGGAAGGGCTGAACGGAACCTGGACAGGCGATATCGCTTCTGAACCAGATCTGGTGTGAACTATCGGTGGGTGTGGGGGAGTATGAACGGGACCTGCGGTAGGTGACGCGGGGTTGATATGAGCAGGGACCGAACTCGGTGGGTGATATGCAGGTGGGGGTACAGCGTAATAGTTAGGGGCATAAGGTTGTTGAGTCATTGGATCGTAAGGAGCGGGATATTGTGCAGGGGGCGGCGGCGGAGCAGAATAATACGGGCCAGCTTGAGGATGCGCAAAGAGACAAGAAGAACCGTAACGACAAGCAGGGAAGTATCTGCAAGGAATGAAACGTGCCACTTCCGGCGGAGGGAGGTTTCCAAAACCTCCGTTTTCACCCATTTGCATGGGGGGCTGCGGATAATACGCAGGAGAGCCATCGGGCAATGTCGGCATAGGGGGTACGCCTGGATAATAAGCATAAGGTCCAGCGGGGACGGGATAGTAGGGTTTCGCAGGATTAACCAGCGAATCTTGCGTGTAGCCTTGTTCTTGGGCGGGTACACCATTTGGCGCAGGCTTGTTTTGGACATTATTGAATAGCTCCAAGATCGCAGCATCAGATGTGTACATTTCTGGCCGGCCATGCACAGATGTAAAAGAAGGATCGGCACCTGATCATACAATCGATGAGATAATCGCAATTTGACGCGTAAATTATATTACCTCGGTCGAGTAGCACCTTCACCACATCGACATGTCCGTTCTTGACTGCTTCGATGAGGGGGGTGGACCCGGTATGATCTATAAGAGAATTCCAGGTGGAGACAAAGGAATTGATATTAAGTTTCTACGAGCGTGGCAGTATAAAATTAAAAATGCGAGCAACACACCTCTGATCTCGATATCGACCGAAGATGCATCATTGAGTATGCCAAGGACTGTCTCGAGGCTTCCCTCAGAGCAAGCGGTCCAGAGCTGTGAGACCATATCGCAAATCCTATAGTGAATCTAATAGATGAAGAAAAGAATAGGGCTACGCAGAATGAACCGAGAGTAGATCTGAGAAACTGAGCGAAAGGAAGAAAAGATAGCTTAGACACGTCGACCTCAACTTTGGCTTGAATCGGCTTTCGGAGTGCGCGCCCCTACAAAAAATGTAAAAAAATGCGTGTGAAAATACTGGCTTGGATACGCTTACGTAATTTAAATCAATATATTATTAATATGACGTGAGGAAATTCCGCCAATCGCCTCCGGTTCACCCGATCTATCGTAGGACCACCTCACGCCAGGTTTGCCAAAATGATCTGGCTACAATCAATAAATTATTAGACGTGGAGGATACTCAATCATCTCCCGCGTGTCCTACGCGTATGCATGTCTTATGTCGACGCGTGGGTCATTGATCTAGGCACCGGGTGAAACGTTCCTTTTCAAGATGGCATGTTCGATCACATGCTGCACGGAAACGGGAGCCTTGCTCGAGACTTTCAATAATCACTTGAACTATGTATATGAAAAGGTTCATGCGTCCAATCCGAGTTTCTGCATTAACCTCTTGGCAGGCTCCCCTGCTTTCTCCGGCAGGTCCAGCTCACGCGACGGCGGGCGACACATTAACTCTTGTATACCTTCATGCAAGTCTTTTCCTGCACAAGACATTCAGATTAGGCATATCAGGCTCCACCTGCACCCACCTTCATAGAGAAGAGCATATATCTGTGATTACAATCGGGCAAGCGTAATTGTTTTAGCTGAAAGATAGAGCAAAGATAGGGCAGATCGCATTACGCACCCCATTGGCAAGAGGCGCGGACACTTGCATCTCATCGATGATCTTCTTCAATCCCTTAACTGTTGTCACTCCTTCAGCTACACTACCAAGCGTCTTGATAATATCTTCTAGTGGCTCTCCTTTACCCAGTCGATAGCCCACGGTGTAATTACGACTGGTCGGCGAACTACACGTAAGAAACAGGTCACCCACACCGGCAAGCCCTAAGAACGTTAATGGTGACGCTCCGTACGCGGTTCCGATTCGCGTCATTTCGGCGAGGCCGCGAGTAATAAGACCTTGCCGTTCAGCTATAAGTAAGCTTCTGATTCTGATTCGAAGAATGTAACAAACCCACCGGCTCTCGTGTTATTCTCGAATCCGAGTCCATCGGCGAGGCCTGTGGCGATAGCGTAAACGTTTTTAAGGGCCCCTGCAAGTTCTAATCCTATCGGATCAGATCCAGTGTAACTGCGGGGCTCCTTGAACCAGAATGCCAAGATTGGAATAGCGTAATCTTACCATCGGAACCACGGCTGATGGAATATCTCTGACGCTTTCTTTGCTTGCGATTCTGTTAGAGACGCGACAGAAACAGAAGTCGGTTGCCTGCGAACAACTTGGGGATCTTCTCAGGAGGAGCCATGATTCATTTCAAAATCTGAACGCACTTTCCTTTGCAAACGACGGTCCAGACTACCAGAGTCACGACTACAGAGATCAGCTGAGAAGACAACGCTTACAATAAAAGTTGCCGCGCGGGCAATCTCACTTCCGCAAGTATCAGCAATGATCTCGAGCGTTAGTGCCTGCGTATCTGTTTCAATACCTTTGTTGACAAAGATCATCAAAGGCAAGTTTGCGTGGTCTAAGCTGTGTTGTAGTTTGATGAGTGTTTCTCTGTTGGTTCCGATCCTAAATAAACTACGGAATCTGGGACAGGTCCACAAGAAATTCACCTGACGCCTTGCGTTGGTATTGCAAAAAGTAAAACATCCATCTGTTTCATCATCTCCTCGCTGGGTATCTCCGGGCCAACAACACGAATGTTCGTTGAAAATTGGTGATCTTTCAGGTAGTCTGGGTTCCGATGATGCTTGTTAAAGTATTCCACGAAACGAGCTTCCCGAGACCACATGAATACTTCATGGTCTGAGTCTCCGAGATGGTCTGCCAAACAGCTTCCAAAATTGCCTGCTCCAAAGACGAGAATTTTTGACTTTGGGGGTGGGGTAGAGGGCAATGATAGCATGGTGAACTTCGCAGTGGAGAGGGAGGTGGAGCGAATGCTGCACCTGGAGAAAAGGGTATGATGAGAGTAGAGGACAACACTGGCTCGTGGATGTGGCTTGCTATTGACGATGTTATTACGTCGAATGGCGATATAACGCAGCATATACAACTGACTAAGTGATCCCGATGAGGCTCTGATAAAAGAATTATT